ACTGCACCCCCTCCCTGGGCAGCTCATTCCAAGGCCTGACCACTCTGACAGGGAGAAATTGTTTCCAATCTCTGATGTGAACCTTCCCGGTGAGAAAGTGAGGGATGAGGGAAAATAATCACAGCAGCAAAGCAAAGAAGCTYTTTGGAAGCCACCAAGGGCCCTGCAAAAACCCCAACACCCAAAAAAGGGCATTATGCTGGGAAAGAGTGAAAAGAAATCTGCTGTGACTCAGTCAAGGAACTCAGCAGAAGTGAGAGGAGGTGAAAACTCCTCCTTTTACAAACAAGTCCAGACGCAGTGAGGGGAAAGGAGAGCTTTCCCTGGGGGAGAAGAGCCAACCCAACCCTGCAGGGATGTGCCAGCCCCAGTTGAGGCTGCCAACCTGGGCTGTGTGTGTGAGGAACTGCAATTGTATCCCCAATTCCACATTTACCACCAGAAATGCACCCTCCTTCCCCCAGGGAAAGCCTGCCAAGGTGCTGCAGGTGGCTCAGCCTCCCAGGGAGGACATTTCCTGGGGCTCTTTCAGCTCCAGGGATGCTGTGGGGTCACTTTTGCAGAGACTCGAATGGATCTGATTTTGAATTTGCTCTGACCAGGTCAGCAGGTGGAGCTCAAAGCTTCAGGTACCAACACAGGTGTGCCAGGAACCCCCTCAGCTTTCCCTAAAAATACCTGGATGGAAAACAATCCATCAGTGAAGATAAAATAAAACTCCTGAAGGCCAAGCCAAGCTGCCACTGACACCTTTTTGTTGAGAAAATTCTCTGCTTTTGCTTTTGAATTTTCACCRAGGCAGCAGGGCTGGGGTTGGTACAAAGGATGGGATCTCTGGGATTTCTCCCAGAAACTGCAGAGAAGAAAAAACTAAATTAAAAAATAATRATAATAATTTAAACAAAACTAAYTTCAAAAACAGAGGATTTTACGAGCGTCTCCATGAAAAAAAACCACGGCCCAGCCCAAGTTTCTTTGGTTCCCTGCCACATTAACCAATCATGTGCTGTTTTTATTGAAGGCTAATGAGTGATTACAGGCATTTTGCAGTTACTGTGGCACTGGGATGGTTCAGCATCACTGAACAAAGCCYACAGTCGGTTTCTGTCTCTATTAAATCAGGATTTCCTGGCATTCCAGTTGTTTCCTGTGCAAGGAAGCCAGGAGCTGTTTCCCAATCATTTAGATTCTGTTGTAAAATCAAAATGCAAATTGTTCGAGTTTGCCAAAATGTTTTCAMAGAAGCCAAATTAAATATTTTATCCTGACTGCCCACAATGTCACGGGAGCTTTGGAGGTAATATTAATTATAGTACAGTGACAGCTTGAAGGGTTGAGTGGCTTTTTAGCAGGAAAACAAGACAGGAATTATCACCTGTGATGAAAAGCAGAATTTCCTAGGGCCACCACTCCTCTCAGGTAAGTCTTGCTACAAAAATTGCAGGTAATTCTGCTTAAATTCCTTGAAATTTATTTTTAGAAGTCCACGATCAATCACTGTAGCAAATCTTAGGGAAATTCAAATTATCTGGCACAGACGGCAATGGCAAATAATCCACTTTGCCAAAAAGTGGAACTTTGGGTGCTTTGGGGTTCCTAAAGCACATCCCTGCCCTTCTTCCTTRGGTGCTGTGGAGAGGGAGATCTGGGGAGGGGTAGGTTGGATTTAGGGAATGGAATTTAAATAGCAGAGAATTTTCATTTTATTCTGGTATTGACCTACAATGAGCCTCAGTGCCACAAGCAGGAATTCACCCCACAGAGGGTTCCCAAAGCCCACCCAGCCATGGCAGGGACACCTCCCACTGTCCCAGGCTGCTCCCAGCCCCAATGTCCAGCCTGGCCTTGGGCACTCAAAGGGATCCAGGGGCAGCCACAGCTTCTCTGGGCACCCTGTGCCAGGGCCTGCCCACCCTCCCAGG